CTATTAAAGCTTCTGACGGAAGGTTAAGTAAGCTCATGGGCTCAACCTGAGACACTTTATTATCACTAACCCTAGCACGAGCAGTGCTTCGAAGAATCCCGCGCCCGATCAGAATTGCAACCCACTGAAAAGATCCGGCGGGAAACTCAGTTCGTTGTGTCTATGGGTTAGTTCGCTCGTGAAACTGTTTATCGTAAGGGATGTGGCTTGTATATAGATTACATAAAGATTGTGTGGTCGATTATGAGGCACGCATAAAATATAAAAGGTATTTTAACACAATGTACACGGTATGTAACAATATTTTAACAAATCCCATTGTGAATATATTTTCAAAACTGTAAATTAATTAATAATTGGGTGTCAAAACTTTTGGTAGAATTGCTACTAATTACTATTAATTTCTTAAATTTAAATCGATACTCTAGTCTCTAGCTACCTAGGTAATTATCGATTTTGCTTCGTTCACGATTGGTGTATCCTAAATACATCATTATCGGTGGTCGGCATAGCACGTAGGTACGAATATTGCGCTTATATCTGTCAAGAACTGCTTATGAATTTCGAACATTTACAACAATCCTGTGGAGTATATTGTCGTAAACAACTTCTTACTTCGGGGTTGTCCAAAAAACTTTTATAACAAACCCAAAGAAACTCGCCACACTGTGTAGGACTCACTGGTGGTAGGACCTCTCGTAAGTCCGCACGGGTACGTACCACCACCCTGCCTATTTCTGCCGTGAAGCAGTAATACGTTTTGGTTTGAAGGACGGGGCAGCCGTTGTAACTATGTTGAAACCTTAGAACTCATATGGCGGGTGGGTGGCGTTGTAGATGTATATGAGTTCCGGTAACCACTTAACACCAGCTGTGAGCTCGTCCATCCATATATGCAATAAATAAAAATAAATAGTAGTCGAAGTGATTTAATGCATCATTTAGTTGTAAGACTAAACCAAAAGACCATGACTTCATTTGCAATCACGTCATTTCGTTTTTACATGAATCAGTGCGTTTTAAACACGCTCCACATCACACACACAAATATGAAGGAAGACTTTATAAACCTATTTTCCTGTTTTAGCTTAATATGGCTTATAAACAAAATGCCCATGAGATAAGAGATCCATCAAGATACCAAACAGGTTATTTGCATAGTAAGGATTATAATTTCTAATATCTATACGTTATTGTATTACGTAATAAGGTATCAAATCCATTAATGACATCCACTGTCACAGAGCAAATAAAAAAAAACAAAATGTGTGCAATTCACACGTAGTAGAAGTGAAACCTTCCAAAATTAAAATACAATTATCCTAAACGTCTTAAGTATATGTAAAATTTTGTCATTAGTAAATAATTGTAAGGTAGCGCCCTCTGTGTATTGATATTTTAATTTCACGTATAATCCTAAATTAAAATTCACTACAAGAGCTTTCATACACACGTTAGTATTAAAAAATCTCACAGATGGCGCTGTATTANAAAATTAAAATACAATTATCCTAAACGTCTTAAGTATATGTAAAATTTTGTCATTAGTAAATAATTGTAAGGTAGCGCCCTCTGTGTATTGATATTTTAATTTCACGTATAATCCTAAATTAAAATTCACTACAAGAGCTTTCATACACACGTTAGTATTAAAAAATCTCACAGATGGCGCTGTATTAAATAGTATGTATATTTCTGTTTCATTCTTTGCTGGCTTCATCCTACACATTTTTATATTTGTGTCTCTTACCTGTCGTTTTTTTCGTTGCATCCGGTTTGAAATCACAACGATTCTAAAGAAGTTTTCACTTCAATAATGGCGATAATAAAAGTATGGAAAGTAAACAGTTAATTAATTAAATCCTTTACTAAAACTAGACTGTGTGAATATGTCTCATTATCTTCCACATAATTTATTGAATCTAACAGCAACTCTTTGTAATTGTGACGTCATAACCTAAGGCTTGGCACGTGAAGTGTGAATATCGAATGACAAAGTTATCTATATATTAATACATGAAGCAAAAACTTTGTATCCCTTTTTACGAAAATTGCGCGGACGGAGGAGTATGAAATTTTCCACACTTATAGAGAATATAGAGAATAAATGCACAATGCTAATATTTTTTTAAAATAATGCATAGAAGATACATTAAATAAATAAATAAAGAAAACATTACACACACTACATACCATGTATTTGACGCACACACGCATGCATACTATTTATTGTCAAACTTTTGTTTTGTTGACGTCTGTGGTCAAATTGAGAATAGATTAAATATTGTTGGTCTTGGCGAAATTTTGTGATTATAGAAGTATAAAATACAATCATAATAGTGTACAAACTTACAATTCCAATTAATTTTAGTCGAATTTCGACTACTGCGGGACCTCTAGTTTGCAAAAATACATTAAATAAGTTTAGGTGACAGAACGAAGGCATTAACCAACCTGGTCTACAAACCTACTCTATTTTTGCCATAGTAAAAAATTAAACAAATTTGTTCTAAAAGCTTAATATTCTAGCTTTACATTTTGCTTAACATCATTTTTATCATTACGACTACTTAAAACTAGTTTTAAGGTTTAGTTTTGAGGTTTTTTTTTCATTTTACTATTTCTGACCTTCCGAATACTGTACTGTTTTCGTGGTCACGTGGTCACTAAAGTATTATTCGTCTTTATTTAAATAATGCGCTAACTACCGTCTGTTCTTCTATAAAAGAAGATTGCCAGACTTTTAGGTTTTACACTAACAATATGCTCATTGGCACTAACTATTTACCATAAGAAAATCACTAAGCCGTTTTGTCAATGAGAAACGATAATAAGGTTTTGTTTTCAAAATATCCAATGTTACTTTCGAAATTGAAATATAGAGTATCCTTCCAAGCTTTACGTAAACAAGGTGGCATTTTTTATTACATATAGGTGAGTAGGTGTTAATTGATTTGTAATGTGGGCACCACAAGGTTTCATATGAAGACACAAAAAACAATTTATGAATGTAGGTGTATAATAATATGAGTATGAACGACGCTAACAATCTGCGTTCAAATGAGGTCGTAAGCATTCCTTTCGTTGGAAATATAATAGATTTTGTTTATTGCTTAGATGGGTGGACGAGCTCACAGCCCACCTGGTGTTAAGTGGTTACTGGAGCCCATAGACATCTACAACGTAAATACGCCACCCACCTTGAGATATACCTAAGTTCAAAGGTCTCAAGTATAGTTACAACGGCTGCCCCACCCTTCAAACCGAAACGCATTAGTGCTTCACGGCAGAAATAGGCAGGGTGGTGATACCTGCCCGTGCGGACGCACAAGAGGTTCTACCACCAGTATATAATACAAAATAATAATAATACAAAAACTGATAGTCTGTTACACTTTATTGTTTGACTGAAATTTTGATATCCCTATTTAATAATTCATAAATTGTTGTCCGTTGTTACCACGAAAACTGTACAGTATATTAAACGTTGAAAATAAACAAAAATAAAAATATAATGACAAAAATAAATGCTAGATTAGATTGTAAAAGTGGTTTTAATCATGTCTGTGACCAACTAAAATCGAAAGAAATAATAATTTACAAATATTTAAGTTACAATTAGTGATCAATTCCTACGTAATATGGCCGTCAGGATCGCTTGAGTGATTCTTGAATGAAGCGGCGATTGACCATGATTAGGTTCTTCGTGGGACAATTTTTAATCTAGACCATTCTATATTTGTGTTGACTTAGTTAATAAGTACGTTTAATCTTTGGGCACTAAATTATTAACCACAAAAACCACAAAGGTTATTGTGATCAGAAACAATTAATTAACTAATTGATTGACAAACTATTTGTATCCTATACCGTAGCCACATTCCGGCTTCTTATTAAGACGAGTATTATTATGCCAATTATAACGAAGCAATTATGGGTTCCAATTCGGTAGTATTATAGTAGGTATAGGTATGCAAAGGATCGTGACTTTGGTCGCTGTTTTCTCCGAACGCCAGTATACTTAAAACCACGCATGAAGTTTTTTTTTTCCTACCTAAGCTGATTGTCTAGAGAGACCATATCAGCGTAACCTTAACTAGTAGGTGAGCTCACGGGGCTCAAACCTGACGATGTTGGCAGTACGAACCCTTGGAAGAGCCGTGCTACGCAGAATCTACCACCGGATCGGAAACGCGACCCACTGAGAAGATCCGACGAGAAACTCAGTGGGCTGTGTCTGTGGGTTAATTTACTCGCCGAACCCTTCGTAGCAAGCGACGTGTTCGACGAGAACGATGACCGGTGTTTGGGGTACCTAGAAGCACCGTTAGTGGATCGGGAGGACGCGATATCGACTGTTTACCATTTGGTCCGCAGGATCAGCTATGTAGTTTCTGGCGGCCACGTCGTGCCGCTTTATCGAAGTGTACACGCCTGAAGCTCGTATGATCAGAACCATAAAAATATTGCCCAAATGAAATACAACAACATTGAACTTTGAAATGAACTTCCCCCATAGTGTTATCTCAACATCACGGCATTAACCTCTCCAAACTAGCTTATGCAAGGCATAATGTGGTCTGGCTTTGTTAGGGGATTGCTGGCATTGTCGCTTTGGAATTGAGACGAAAGCTCGCCTTTAACAGCAATAAATATATTAAAAATCGACAAGAATTACATAAATGCAATATTCATGCAGTTATTGTTAAACTCATCATCGTAATGCCGAGAAAACAAATTTAAACATATGTACTACTAATAGGTTTATTAGTCACTACTGACAGTTCTATGTTTACGATAACACCGACGGTGTCACGATAAACAAGCAATAAATCGAATAATCGACAATTGTATTACGTACTTCGAGAATGCAAATGAACGTGAAACAAAATACCTTCTCACGAAGCCGCGGACCGGATGAAAAACAGGTTCTTATTGCATACCAAAAGGAAATCATACCTTGTAATGATCAGTAAAAAGTAAACCATAGCGAAACGTACCTTCGTCTCCGAGATATTCCCAAAACAAAACGAAATCACATCACTGAGCACACATAATTTATAAACTTCACTATACGTAAAATAAAAGAATGTGGTTTAGAAACGTTTTTTTTTTAAACATTCACTGATCGTACACACGCGAGTCGGGTCGGGGTTAACGCGCAACACGTCTAACCTCGTCGGAAATTCGAGCAGCACTGCCGTCTGGGCGCTCCGTTGAATATGAGCGTTGAGCGTTGAGCGTCTCCATTCTCGAATACTACGAGCCACTGCCATTCAGGTATGTGAACAACCTCGACGCTGACATCACAGCAAATTAAAATGAGCCATACAACTCCGGAATAAAGTCCACAATCAATAATCGTTCTCCCAGTGATAAGACTGCGTCGATATCAGAGCTGTGTCTAGGATTCCAAACAGAGCGAGAGGCAAAGCTTTTAATGTCGTTGTCGGAAAGGGACGAATACTTTTCGACATCAAGATGATTGGGGCATAAATTTTTATATTCGGTTTGCAGTAAAAGCGCAGTGGAACAATGGCTTGCGTGCAGCGGAGTATTTGCCTCGGTCAACAAAAGCTAAGCTACATTGGCATTGTTTTAAATGAGCCTCCCTCAGGTTTTGTTAGCTGTCTTCGTTAGCAGAACTCTCCCCCGGGATAAGGATGAAAGTATTAATTTGCGAAGCGGGGCTTGCCAGCTTTTGATTTGCAATGAAAACCTCCCGAGACTGTGATGAAAGTAAACATAAAATTCATTTACATTATTTGTTTGCAGTGATGCTGAGCTCTGATTGATTTCAGTGGTTTTTAACACGCTCATGTTACCTTTGTATTTATGTGTATATTTATGATGTGTGATGTCGAAGAGGTCCAGATGAATTGAAAAAACATTTTTTTTGTTCCTAACTATTCTAGTGACCTCAAGGGTCATACTGCCCACTGAGTTTCTCACCTGAGTTTTTCAGTAGTTCGCGTTTCCGATCCGGTGGTAGATTCTGCGAAGCGCGGCTCGTGCTAGGGTTCGTGTTAGCAACGTCGTCAGGTTTGGGCCCCGTGAGCTCACCTAATAGTTAAGGTTACGCGGAAATACCCTCTCAAGGCTATCAGCATAGGTAGGAAAAAAAAGAGTCATAACTTGCTTCACCGGTAGTAGGTGAGTTCACGGGGCTCTAACCTGACGAAATTTCTAAACTAACCCTAGCAACAGCCGTGCTTCGCAGAATCTACCACCGGATCGGAAACGCGACCCACTGAGAACATCCGGCGAGAAACTCAATGGACGCGGTTTAAGGGTTAATTCGCTTGCCGGGCCCTTCATCCCGATAACGATGACCGGTGCTTGAGGTCCCTACCTAAAAGCACCGCTGGTGGATCTGGTTGACCCGAAATAACTTGAACATTCCGGACATCAATTACGGATGATGACGATACAACAATTTTATAACTTCGCTCTAACATACCATAATATAAAATTTTAAATTCAAAAATATGAAAACAATTGTTACTTCCGTTTGCTCTATGAGGGTTTTTTTGTTTTAGTTTTTAATATTACTTAAATTATGATACCTGTACACGAAATATTGAATATGTTTATTTCATTCAAGTCGATTGCGAATAAATTTGATTCGATTATCAGGGATTATTTTATCGATAAACAAATATGTTACTTAAACCCTGGGTTTGTTTTCCACAGCCGTAAATATTAGCGACAGTAATTATCAGCACTGTTTTCAAAAAGTAGGTAATTCTCAAAGAATTACATACTAAAAAAATACGTCTAAATGATGTTAGGACCCTTTACTTATATCCTTATAACAGAAATATATTAGAGATAGTAATTTTTATATTAATTTTCTTTGGTTTCCACGGATTGTAAACCTAATTAAAATTGTTTGTGAAGCTTGATTTCGCGTTTTTCTCCTTTTTATTTCGACACGTTTCGACTGCTTTAATTTGCCACTTTTCGTAGTTACGGACGACTTATATGCTATGTTAGATTATAAGCAGCCTAATCAGAATCAGAAATCAGCCTTGATCAAAAATCTCCAAACGCTTGAAGGATGTTACACGTGATGCTAAGGCTGGCTGGTACTTTCCACAGAGAGTGAGTCTGGCTGTCCAACGGGGTAACGTAGCCAGTATCTTGGGAACTGTGCCTCGTTTAAGCGCATTGGAAGATTTATTCTACGGTGTGAATTGATTTATGTTAAATTATTTTGATTTGTTATTTTATTAAAAGAGATTTTGAAGTTTAAAAAAAAAGCAGCCTAATAATGATATGTTCAAAATGATTTCAATAACAGTAAAGCATCACTCGCGGACAACACAGAAAGTAATTCATAAAATCGGTTCCAATTTCGTGGCACAAAAATGTTTTGCTACTAACCTAAATGCACACGAACTCACAATGACGAACGACTTCTTCTTAAGAGAAATAGGTTCCTATAATTCAAATAAAACTAACATAATTTCTAAGTTTGCCCAGTTATTGGATATTGTATCCACATCTATACTAATTTAAAAATCTACAGTGGTTTTTACGGATGTCCCGTTATAACTACTGAACCATGCATCCGATTGACTTGAAACTTGGTATCCATGTAGAAAATAAATGTAGTTAATGGATAGGATATGTGAGTGTTGGACTCCGTAATAATAATGACAATAAATTATAATGCTAATTTTAAATGCCCAGCAAAGCGGGCGAGTACGGCTAGTTCTTACTAATTCTGCTGCGACTCAGTCATGTGTTCGAGTTTATTGGGGACGTACCAGCCAAAGTACATTTCAACAAAACCCCACGTCTTAAGGTTGATATCTGCAGAAGATTTTAATTGCGACCTAAAATCCCGGTCTTAAAGTGGATGTAGTATCCACGTTGTCATGTCCGCAGGCTTCTTATAGCACCTTACAACCAGTACACGGTGAGCTTGGATACTCTTCTATAGTAATGTAAATATTGGGTTTTCTTTCATCACTTCTAGACCTGTTTTGTTTTTGTTTTTGCCCTCTCTCTATAACTGGTTCTGTCCATTCTATGCCACACAATCAATCAAACACTGAACCAAATTCAAAAGACTGCTAAAAGGTTATTTTAGTGGCAATACAATATTACAAAGTTATTGAGCAAAACGTCATTGACAAAGCAAAATAGCATGTCTGTCTACGGAAATAACAACCGGGATTTCGGCGTCGCTTCATGTTGATACAGAGAATATTCTCCACACTTTTTTGTCTCCAAAGGAGTCCCCGAAAAGAAAAAAAAATCGGTACCTGCTTCACACAGTTTTTCGACGAAAAAAGTTGAGACCCCCTAGTAGCGGTAGTCTTTGAAAATGAAGAATGTAGATTACAAATTATCAAGGCCAATAACAACGAGCAAGTTACAACGACAATTTCCCTGGTAGATAAAAATTTCATTCTAAAAGAAAGATACCTTAGAGACATGATTCAATCAAATGCAATAATTGGATTATAATCTCGAAACGATTGACGCGAAGCTGTCCATCTTGTCTTTCAATTTGTTTTATTATGAACTTACCATAGGTAAGGAACGACCTGCACCTACCCTAGGTGCAGGTCGTTCCAAATGTGTACATTCAATATGTTTGAGATAGTCACAGCGAGTAATACACTAGTAACAGACTAATCAATAGGTAGAACAAGGCTATGAATCTGAAGATATATCAGGCTCGCTAGTGCTGGTATTAGCCCCCAATCATCGGTTCATAGTATCCTCTAATTCTTAACTTACAAATGGGCTGAGTTTACAACTTTACACTGGTTACAACTTTACGCACGCCCATTTACGCAATAATCATTTTTTTCATTTAAAATGTGCACATAGTCACAAAATTGTGCTCCAATTTTAAAATAATAATGCGATAACAAAGGTACAGGTGATCTATTATTCCTTACCTGAGGAGACCTCACCCTCTCTGAGTACTAGAGAACACCTTTATAAAATGAATTAGACTTATGACCCAATTTGGAGAACCTTCCAAGATACCGTGAAAACTATAAACCATTTACTTTGTAAGCTCTTTATCCTAACTAGGATAATGACATCTCAGACGATGGTTATCCAGTCTAAAATGTCTATAGGGTCCTACCCCCTACTTACTAGCGAAATCCATACGAGCAGTGCGTAGGGATGTAGGATTAGATCGAGCTTATTTATACCCAGACCCGAAGTAAAATAATTAGTGACTGCCGGTTAATTAGCCGGACCCAAATAATGTTTCAGCGGCCTCGAAAATCTAAATCTCTTTCAAAAGCGCTATCATGGAAGGACGCTGGAAAATACACTTGGTGGGGGCCAAGTGTATTTTCCCAAGAAAAGCCACGACCCTCAGCATTGAGGATTATCGACGCAAGGGGGAACCTGCCGATGATATCAACACAAATTTCAAGATCTTCTCAAAGATAACACATGATACAGATCGGTTTCCAATCATTTATTTCTCGTTTAAAATACAGTAAACTAAATAAGTAACTTATTCGTTGCACAAGTATCGTATTCCTGCGGTCGACCACACGGGACCTGTTCATATGACAATATCATGTTCCAGCCAGCTTTATCGCTCTATGCGATCAACATTTGCTCGTATCGGCACACGATGTTCAGCAAAACGTTCAGCTAAAGCATTGAGCAAATTGCGAGCAAACATTTTTAATTTTATTAATAACCCAAAACACGTCGGTTTTTTGTTGTAAGTACACGATGTTAAAGCGGCATAAATTCAAAAAAAGGTCGCGTTATTTACGCTTGCACGATACGTTCTGCGTTAAGCCTAAACGAATGGGGGGTGAGGTTAAATGCTTAGATAGGTACTGAATATTAAAAATACCGTGACTGGCAATAGGGCGTATCGTGAGCAGAGTTAGCAACAATCAGCCTGTCTGTATATTGCGGAGAAAACTTGCATTACAGTTTGAATTGAGAAACTGCCATGGTTATTACAATTCTACCTTCGATCTCAGGTGTGATTGTGACTGACAATGAAGTTCTTGATAATTCTGTATACAGATGAATAGAGTTGTCACCCTAACTTGACTTAAGGGAGTACTACACCCCTATATATATCGAGGGGTGAATGGCTATTTGGTGGTGGTGGCTTAAGCGGCATTTTTGCAACTTTACAGGAGATCCATTTAAAGTGTTAAATTTGGAAAATAAAGCATAACCCATAGACATGGAGCCCATAGAC